CGCTGCAATAGACTACAGAAACTAAAATTATCCTGCAGCTAGGATCACACCTTTCCCCTTCTCTCGACGACAGACTAATTTTCTTCTAAATTCTCTCTATTAATTGTAGGTTTCATTTCACATCTTTCTTCACCTATTCTGATTTAACACTACCTGATTGGCCACTCTGTCTGTTCCCTGCTCCCGCCTCCCAGCTTCTCCTCTCTCCCAGCTTTTGTTCTCCTATACTACATTACCTTTGCTTACTGCCCTGTCTTTCTCACACATGAAGAAGGCTCCACGGCCGAAATGATGTTCTTTCTTCTCTTTTCAGCATGGAATAAACCTATTACTTGTTCCAATATACAACATAGGCAGCCAAAAGTCTCAGAAAATGATTTGCAGATAATTAGCAGATTATCAGTAGTCCTAAAGTTCCAATGGGACCCAAAATCCAGCACTTAGCATAAAAAATGTCTTAGTAGTTTGGGAATGCCAACGCTAACTCTAGCTGGGGTTTCAACAGAGCAATACTGGTAAGTGGGAATTTAATAGAAAGGTCTTGACCCAAGTTAAATCACTTTTTAAATAATCAACTCTGTATCTCTTTACACCAACCCAACCCTGGTAACACGCAGCAATGAGAAATACAAACAGGATTCACATTATTACTGTATATACCACCTTCATTATATAATATGTCTAATTTTTAACTAACTATGATTGGGCCAGCATTGTTGTTTTTACATTTCAAAGTGTTATATCACTTTTTTCAGTTTCAGAGTGGCTTTTTGGATAAAGTCCTGTATCTTCAAAGAAGACACTTAAATTATCCTCAGACAAAATCTGGCAAACCCATGGATATCTCACAGTGACAGCAAATACCAAAGATCTGACTTTTAAATCTACAAGTGCCAAAAAAACAATGGGAAGTCCCTATAAGTATGTGAATGCAAATGGGGTTTCCTCTAATACTGAGGTGAAGGAGCAGAAAAAAACAGAAATTTATTAATGCTTATATGTGTAGCGGAGCTAGTTTGGACACAGTGACGTCATCACCCTCCCTGCACGTAGCAGGGACCTCAGCCACCTGGGCTGGGGGAGGTCTCCTTTAGCTCACTCGGCTGGTTCCCTGTTGCGTTACGCAGGAGACCCTGGTTCTCACCTCAGGTATTGTGGAACAAACTGCTTTACCCCTCTGCTTTTCTTAGTACCACCATCCACGGTCTCCTCTGTATATTGTACTTGTGTTTTATTTTGTGTATTCTTTTTATTGTTGTTGTCATTCTGTAAAGCACTTTGAGAAGCCACCTTTAAAGGCGCTATTTACAATAAAGTTAATTATATAAATAAAGTTTATTACATATGCAATGTGTCAAATTATGATAAATCTCAGAAATTCAGTAAGGTTCTGTTAAGTAACAGGTGTACTGTAAAAAGAACCTTTGCAATATGGTTTCTCAATCATGGTCCTGTGGAGCCAAACACTTACTGGGTTTTTGTTGAAGTGCAATTCTTTATTTAAACAAATCCCAAACTGAACTATCAAGTTTCTAACTTCGAAGCTTTGCAAGTTTTTTTTCTCTACTCAAATGCTGGAGATTGTAAGTTGCTATATATACCTAAGAAACATAGTAGTTAAAAACCTTCCTCCAATATATTTAGGAACTGAAAAGAATTGAAGATCATGCAGTCAGTTAATGGTTTGCACTGTGACCACATATGGACCAAAAATGTCTTGTCAGATGGAGCAAACAAATATATAACACTGCAAATCATGTATGTGCCTTTCTCGACACTTACTTTTAATAACATGCATATATAGTTCTTTTAACAGCATTATTTGAAACAGATACCACCTTAATTACCATCAAAGAAAATGTTTTCCCCACTGTTAATGAAAGTCACCACCACAGAGCCATTAAAAATGCATTAGGCTTCCCAAAGTGTGGATGTAAACCGAGGAAGTTAAGATGAGTAATTGTTTCTTGGAACATCTGCTCCTGGGTTTGATTTGTGTTCATGCGACACCTTCAGTGTTGTAAACTGGTACTTGGCCTTCATGGTAAAGAAATGTATAACGGCAACATAATGATTAATGTCAGACAACATTTCTGTCATGTGTATTTGAATAGATATGAATCTGTCAGGAATTTCACTAGGGAACTAAGATGATGCTACTAAGATGCAGTCTGTCAGTGAACAATTCTCCTAAGCCAGTCCTGAAGTCAAGGACATTTGTAATACTGCTATTAACTACAATTGCAATGTATTTGTAGTTTTTAACCAAAGGATCGATGCATAATTGTGATATTAATTATACCATGCTCAATTCATCCATTACAGTAAAATACAAGATATTTTTGTCAGACGTATGTTTCAAGAATTTCATATCCTGATACATATCATCTACAGTAAGTCCAAATTTGTTTACACAATTGAAAGGCAGCTTCTGTAACACTGTTTAGATGCAAAGGGACAATTCCCAGTGAATTGTTCATGAATTAGGAGTGAATTGTTACTAATGAATTCAGTAAGAGGACACAATCATGCTTTTTCATTTGCAAGCTGTGTTATGAGGGATTTCACAGACCCTGATTAGCAATGCCTCCAGACTTGCTTATTTAAAATGGCTATATATAGTTCTGGATTAGTGCTTATTAGCATCACAAACCAGAGGATTGAATTCATGTTGAGTAAAGATTGCACCTGCAGACAAAAATTCTGACTCCCATCATTTAACACAATACCTCTTAGTAAATTGTTTAATAAATATTGATTATGAACTCATTCATCAATGATATATCTTCTGACTTTATAGACTGACTCATGTCAGCCAAAAGTCTCCAAAAAAGTTTAGGAAAGAACTGAAATGACTGATTCTTTCTAATAAGAAGTAGTAAGCATTTGACTTAACATAGCTGGGTTCATTCATATGGATGCCAACACTTATGTTGTAACTAGCCATATCCTACAATGCAACAAACCTGACAGTGTTAATCAATATTTAGGGTCACTTATAAAGCTTCCCTTATTAACTCGAAAGTTTAATCCAGGGTTTGCAATTTAATATCTCTGTAAATAGCTTTTTGTCCAGGAATAACTGCATGCTTGACCGTAGCACTTGATGGAGAGGCCATAAGGTTCTACTGTTTTAATCTAGAGTGTACAGTATTAGGATTGTGTTATGGTAATAAGCTGAAAAACACAAGATGAAATCCATCCAATTTCTGTCTGCTTCTTTCAGTTCTGGGTTCTGGGTTGCAGGGGAACCGGAGCCTATCCCAGCAAGCAACAGGCACAAGGCAGGTGTCGCCCCTGGATGGGAAAGCCAGTCTATCAACAGCAAGAAATCCATGAATATGAGTTTAGTTTTTTAAAGAGAGTCATAATGATCTGTCCGGTTTTCCAGCCAAAGGTTTATGGATATATGTCATCAACCAAATCAACTGAGAAGAACAATTGACACTTTAAATAGTGGATCTGTCCTGACATTGCCTGTAGTAAACCTGTTGATCTGAACTGAATTCATTTCGAGCGTTATTATTTCTAAGGGAAAATTTGAGTTGTGGCAGAGTCCATCACAACAATATTTCTCTCTCTCTGCTCTGCTTTTTGTAAAATTACATCACCAACTAAAATGGCAGGAGCACCCTGAGAATACTAAATAAGATTAAGAATGTGTACGAATTACCAAAAACTTCAGTTTATAATCCAATTTGTCACAACCATGCCTTAACTCCTTCACAAAACGGTGATAAATATTAGATATTACATTGAGTAAAATATGGGTGATATCAGGGTTGCACAGTACGATATTGAATCCATGGTCAAATTTGAATTGAAGTTTTCTGTTCAGTATGGAGGAGCAATGCTTATGTTTTACTGTTGTTAAATAATACAGATATCCAACTGCTGGCGACTGACAATTATATTTTATACCCGGTCTGACCATTTATTACAGTGGGTTGGAAGGGGACTACATTTGTATTTTCCTAAAATCTGTGACGAGTTATTTCGTTTTCAAAACATTTACCTGAAAAGAGAGTACATTGCACCATTCAATAAAATCATTTAGAAATTATATATTTGGATTCTTTATACATTGTGTCATCAGGAAAATTAATGTGTTTGCTCTTACAATCGTTAGTGTAAAAAATGTACGAAGTGACCAGACAGCCCTGTGGTGATCTAACAGAAGTGCAGCGTTTATGAGAGAACCATGTCCCCGTTTTGACCTGTTGTTTCCTTTCTGTTAAAAATTACATCTAATACCATTCAATTTGAGTTCCTGTTTCAGCTAGAGTGGCTGAATCATATTAAAAACAGAGAAAACATCAATAAAGCTGTAAGCAATGACGTTGCTGAGTCAAGAAGTGGATAAACCATGTGGGTATTGTCTCCTCCCATCCTTCCTGAAAAAGAAGACTAAAATGTTTCATGTGGGATCTGCACAAGACTTGGAAACTCTGCCGTAAACAGTATTTGATCCTGCGATCTTTCGTGATCGCCCAGAACGTTCTACGCACCTCTGCTGTGTTCATCTTTAATAATCTCCTGAACGTTAGAAAACTCAACACTGTTACCCTTGGTAGCTGTAATTTGTCATTCAGAACGGGTATAAAATATATTTGTCACTCGCCAGCAGTTGGATATCTATATTATTTAACAACAGTAAAACATATGCATTGCTCCTCCATACTTAACAGTCAAATTCAATTCAAATTTGACCATGGATTCAATATCGCACTGTGCAACCCTGATATCACCCATAGTGTTACTCAATGTAACATCTAATATTTACCAATGATAATACCCCTAAATTTAAATATATAGATACGGGGAATATTTAAATAAGAGGGTCCTTGTGATTTTTGATAATCCACATCCACAAAGAATTCAAACTTTTCTGTCCTGATGCACATCCGTCTTTACGTATCTATGGTAATAGGACGACACCTTCCGGTCCGCTTAGCCCTTTGTTTGTCTGCAGTTCTCGCGATAAACTTTGGGATTGGAATCAAAGACCTTTGAGTCGAAGTACGCAGTGAGGGACTCGTTGGAGGAAGATCTCGGAGTCGTGTGATTCTCTTTTACAAACTTAGCGATCATGGCCGATGTTCAGCAGGAAGGAGATGCAAGCAAGCCAGAAGAAACAACAGTTCCGTCCGAGGCTGAAAACGAGCAGCAGTTAGAAAACACCAATGGCATAAAACCGTAATTATCCTTTCCCTTGTTAATTGTTGTGTTCTATGCAGGGGGTCCAGTGTTTCTCAAGATGGAGGCTATACATACGGTTGGCTGAGGCCTAGTTTACACACGGTAGTCATAGGCTTTTTCGCGATTGATAATAGGAGATGCTTATATATATAGATTTGTTTTTGTGTAATACCTCTTAAGAAAATTATGCATACAGTATGAAAATGTTAGAGTTCAAAGAGATGGGCCAACCTTGTATTTATTGATAATCGCCTTTTGTGGTGGTTGTGGCTGAGGTCTGTTGGCACAAACAGCAGTTTTACCAGTGAGCTCAATATTTACGAAATTGGACGAATGTATTCAACATTTATATCAACGCCTTTATTTTGCGACTCTACAAGAAAACGCAACCTGTTTGTTGTGGGGCTGTAGTAATATAGTATATATCGTACGTCCTACCAGGGGGAAATCTATACTATAAAAAAAACACCGACTTCAAGCCAGAAATGGTTATTTCAGTCGCGGAAAACTCATAAAATGTTTCTTTGCAAATATTTTTGTGATTACAACTAAGTATCCTGGGCTTCTACCCTTAAGATTTATAGGCCTTTGATAGGTAGTGTATAATGTTGTTGATTGATGCACAATGTTCTTAATATTTGTGGTGGTTGCAATAGAGCTTAAGCACATTTTCCATTTGTACCCGTTTTCTGTTGTGTAGTGAAGCTGATGAACCTCCGAAGGAGAAGTCCGAAATGAAAGAGAAGTCCGTGAATAAGAAATCAAACCGATTTCACCCGTATTCCAAAGACAAGAACGCGGGAGCTGGAGACAAGAAGGGGCCTCATCGAAACCGAGTGTTTATTAGCAATATCCCATACGACATGAAGTGGCAGGCAATTAAAGATCTGATGAGAGAGAAAGGTAACTTGTCAGGTTCAAGGAATCACAAGTTCTGTAGCTACCTCATGCTGTGCCTTCATGATGTTTGTTCTGTGAAAAAACAATCACTGGACTGTCTCACAAGACAACAAGCAGTGACGATTTGGATTAGATGTTGCTTATCGTAAATTGGTCTGTTATAACAACTTCCAGTTGCTCAAAAGTCCAATATGTTTGCTTAATCAGTTTCTGTTTCTGGAATAAATAACTTCTTCAATGCGTGTTACAGTTCAGGGGATATTTCTTAGATTGCAAAACCAATACTCTGTTTGGACTGAAACTTTTTTGTGTACATAAGTTTGTCAATGATGCTTTGAGTTCTTTTGTCAAGGGTTTTGTTAAGAGAGCTCCAAATCATGTAACCTCTAATGCTTTTTTCGCAAATGAGAACTCGTTCTCGTTGTATCTGTTGTAAGGTGACGCATATGTATTTTACTGAAAAATAGGCTGGTGTGCCTTGATGTGCACTGCTCCTTTTATTTAACTATTGGAAGTTTGCAATTCAAAAGTAGACATCTTTTTGAAAGCTGTTAAAGGTGTAAAGTCACCTTAAAACAGTTAAGGGTTAACATTTGTTTTATTTGAATATCAGGTTGGTTATAGTTTTGGTATTTTGTTCACCAACTATGATCATGCTAGCCCCATTGAGACGTTCATGCTTAAGGTTGAATGTAGCTGTTTTTTCCCCTTTAGTCCATGGCTGCTGATTATTTCAGAAACTGACCTGAGTGGCATGGTTTGTCAGGTGGAATGTTGGTCTGGATCGATCATTGGTGAATAACAGGTTTTGCATATGTAGTGTTGTGCCAAGGGCAACAGTGAAGTGAAGACTGGTGTTTTAAATGCATTGTCTTTTTGGTATTTTCCCTTTGTATGTCTCATGTAGTTGGTGAGGTTACATACGTGGAGCTCTTTAAGGATGCTGAAGGAAAGTCAAGGGTAAGTGATGTGGACAACTTGCTGCAAGAGGTTTTAAATATCCTCAGCAGTCTTCATTCTATCAAGTGTTCGACCAGGTAATGAAACTTAAGGTTATTTTCTGTGAATTGCTGATAAATTGGAAAGGTATTGTGGCTAGAGCCTGTTCCAGTTGGCTGTAGTTTGTGACATTTTTGTCAGAAGGGATTGGTTGGTTGATGCTGTATAATTGGATGCACTTATCAGTTTTTTTTTCCTTTAAGTACATCAAGTTTTTGTTGTTGAAGCTTTCAATTGGTGGTTCAGCTTGCTGTTTATTTTTTTATTTGGTAAAAAGGATCATGTGCTTTTTGTCAGCACTTGTTGTGCAATTTAGTTGCATTATAGTGACTATCAATCCTACATTCATATTCTAAGAATTTAAAGGTGATGAATGGCACAGTGCATTCTGCTTTGAAAATGTCCCTACCCAATTTAGAAAAAATAATGTTTATGAAAGTATGAGCATGCCTCTTTATCGATGTGCATTTTAATTTTTTAAACAGTAAACTCTGTGATGTAGTGAGTGACACATGTATGGATATTGAAGGCTTGATTTTTTTTTTTGCTCCAAACACTTTCAGGTTAAACCCATCTTTACTCATGTTACCACCAGAAGAAATTGTTAAAAAAGGCAGTGGTATATAAATTTGCAACATTAAGAGATATTATGCTGGTAATATGAAAAAAGCAGGTGATCCTGAATATGGAATGGGGACAGGGCTGGAAATTAACTCTTGCCCACTCACCATTGGTGAGTAAAACATTTGAGGGCGACAGAAGATCTTGTCTAAATGGCAAGTAACTATCCTGAGGTGTGCAGAATGTTTTGCCGAGTACTGAACCACTTTGTCCTCAGTATTTAAAAGTTCATTTGTGACCTGTTGTCATGGTCTCAGTACATGTTGCTGTGTTCCGCAAACTAAACAAAATGAGAGGCAGCAGCACCACTGGAATATTTGTTATATTTCTAAAATTAGGTTTGTCATAAGAATGAATAAAACGATTGCAGTGAGAGTTGTATTCATGACATTTACACAAAGGCTAGTCCCTCACCTTGAGTAAATGGTAGCAGACTAGTGTTAAAAGGGTGGTGAGAGAGGTTTTCTTTTAATGTGCCAATGCAGTTCATATGTGCTGACACTTTAAACATTTAAAAACAACATCTGTAAAACTTCGAAAAGATCTGGATGTAAGGTATATATAAATCCAGTGATGAAATAGCCCAGTCCAAACAGAACAAATAGTCTGAATTCATTAAGTGTAAAAATTAAGCATGGCATTCAAAGAACAGTAACAGTATTATGAATGCAAAATTGTATATTCTGAAGCCTTTACTGAAATACAATATCCAATTGCACATCTAGAGTTTTTGTGAGTGAAAGGAAGTCGCAGTTCACTAAATTAGTACACATCCTATGATGTACTGTTAAGACATTTTAATATATGATGGGGCCAGATGCTCTGCAGATATTATTGGCTTGTGTCCTAAAAAGTTAATTTCCAGCTCTGGTGGGTATTATTTCACCCCACCATATAAAATAGTGTTAAGATTTCACTGACCTTTTAAAATCCTGTCCTGTAATTCCCTTTGCCCTTATTTTAATGACCTTTACTACTTCCTCTAGAAGGGGCAGTAAGAACATGCAGATTTCATGTTTGGCATGCATTCTGCGAGTACACTTCTGTGCACATCTGGAAAACCAGAAAATAAATGTATAAAAGTCATATTCTTCAAAGACCTTATTAAAGCTGGTTAAGGTTAAATTTTGTACACCTCTTGTGAGGTTTCGCATTACATTAACTTGTTTTTTTCCCCCTTCTCTTGATGCGTGCTCTTGAACACTACTGTGTTGCTGCTACAGGGATGTGGGTATGTACAATTTTTCTGCTTCCATTTTTACTTTTTTGGGTCTATGAAATTAATTGTGATTAATCTGCATTTTTTCATAACTTGTATTTTGCTTTGTAAAATAATTTCCATCCAGAGTTGTAGAGTTCAAGGATGAAGAATTTGTCAAGAAGGCGATTGAAGTTATGAACAAGCATGATCTGAATGGCAGGCCACTCAACATCAAAGAGGTATGGAGAAATCTCAAGCTATTGAACTATTTTAAAACTGACTGATGATGGTGAAATTAATATTAGTGCTAAAGGCTTAATGTGGGTCTGCATTAAGGTCATCCGTCTGAAATTTTTCAGGATCCTGATGGGGAGCATGCACGGAGGGTGCTGCAGAGGACTGGAGGAATGTTTCCTGGAGGCCGTGGCTCAGATGGGGGTCCTGGAATAATGAACTTGCCTCCTTCTATTGCCAACAATCCAAATATCCCCCCTGAGGTCATTAATGCTTTACAGGCTGGGAGGCTGGGTTCAACGGTGTTTGTTGCCAATGTAAGATTTTGTCATTTTTTGCATATTCATCTCATGTTTAATTTATACGTCGATATTAAATTTGCACTTTCCTCTCTTTTTATAAAGCTTGATTTCAAAGTGGGGTGGAAGAAGCTGAAGGAAGTGTTCAGCATGGCTGGAACAGTGAAAAGAGCTGATGTGAAGGAAGACAAAGATGGCAAGAGCCGTGGGATGGGGACTGTCACCTTTGAACAGCCGCTGGAGGCGGTTCAGGCCATCTGTATCCTTTATAATATTGCTTGGGCACAAAAGCTATATGGGTTCGTGTAGGTGACAGTTTAGTAATGAGTAGTTAATGAAGTGTTTTAACTTATCTCTGGTTTGGAATCAATTATAGTTCTGTTATGAAGGTTTGAAATTGTGAATGTTTTCCTTAACCTCTTGATGCTTAGCCATGTTCAATGGACAGTTCTTGTTTGACAGGCCTATGCATGTGAAAATGGTGAGTTTTTCTTTCCTTACTAATCCCTATATGTGGGTCGCATGTGTGCGTTTGTCCATTGTTCAACGCTGTCCTGGAGTGTCCTGTGTGTCAATTCCCCGTGTCTGATTTTTCCTCCCACCTCCCAAAGATGTGCTAATCAAAGGTCCTAAATTGTCCCTTGACAATTAGACAGCTACACTTATTTAGGCTGTAGTTTACTCCTGTAATATTACTCTGGATTGCAGTGAATAAAAAGCTTTCTAATAAAATATTGTTGAAAAGGAAATTAACATTTGTTTTCCGTTTCAGGATGACAAGTCTGTTCCCCCAGATGATTTCCGTCCAGTAGAAAAGTCACCTCAGTTGCCACGTGAGTATCTTGTCTCCATTCTGTGTAGGGCTTGTTTGTAGGAAGATGGAACTTCTTTGGTGATTAAAGCTGCATGTGCTGACTTTGCTTTTAGGAGGTCTTGGTGGTATTGGAATGGGACTTGGGCCTGGAGGTCAGCCAATCAATGCTAACCGATTGAGTGGAGGAGGAATGGGAAATCCTAGTCCTGGAGGTTAGTGCGTCTAAAAAGAGCCTATTTTTCCTGTTTGTGAGGAGTAAGTCCCTGTTCATTTTTGGAGAGCCTGAGCAATCGCAGAGTGCAGAAGAGCTGGCCTGTTCCTGTTCATATTGCAGCAAGATACTAGGTATCTTGCAAAGACTAATGCCGACATCACGCCGTGACGTCTTATATCCAGGAACGGAAAAGTCTAACAGTATTGTTATGGTTCCCTTTTACTGCTGATTACAGGCTGTAAAAGTTTAATCTTGAGTTTTCTGAATTGTCTACTCTTTTATAGGCACAACAAAATTATAAACTAGGCTTGTACATTTTTGCCATGAGATACATTATACACATAGTAAGAAGGTGAAATGTCATCTTGTGTTCCAGGTATGGAAGGACCTGGTTTTGGAGGCATGAATCGAATGGGAGGTGTGTTCTGATAATTACTTTTACAAAGGAAAGTGATATGCAGTTATATTATAAATCCAGTTTAAATACTGGATGACAGCCATGACTGAAATCTGTTTTTGCTATAGATCGTTTTGTTAAATTGTTTGATTTCAATATGCATGTTTTTTAAAATTGCTTTCAGTTATTAAGCAACTCACTTGGCTTTTTAATTCCTAAAAATCAGTTGTCTGCGATTTCACAAAGTGTGGATTTTTTATTGATTTACTGTCTAAACTTAATGAGGGTTCCCTTGCATCCTAAACAATGTGGTATATTTTTTAGAGATCATTTGCTTCAGAGAGTAATGAAAAGAGTTCGGAGGATTGCAGTACAGACTTTAATATTGCTAGGTAGTGGCTATTCTCAAGACAGACAGTTGAATCTGGTAGTTTGCTTAGGAACTGCTCTGGTACTCTTTAGTAGTGGAACATTTTCTTAATATTCTCTCATCTCCATCCATCAATATAAAATTTTTTATGTAAATCAGTCTGTTTTATTTCTATGGGTCCGGTCTTATTTTGTTAAACGCCAAATGCAGATTTTCTAGAAATACTGTTTCCCACATGATCTGCTAGTTTGTTGGTTATAACAGCCCTCCTTTCAAAAAAACCCTTCAACAAAGCTCAGGATCAGTATCCCCTAAAATGAAGGGCAATCTTGGAGGGCTGAATCCTAAAAACACGTTGAACTGTTAATTTTGATTTTGGATTTTTCTGTTTCCTAAACTGTAATCTGCCAGATCCCCAGCTAAAAACAAAAATGAAACTACAGACCATTGGAACTAGATTCCAAAACATGTTATCTTCCTGGTGCAAGAAATGCTCGAAGCATATTCATGTTTTTGGTGTTGCTGTATAATGTCGTTTCCTCTGTGTTCCTCTCTCAGGAATGGGCGGAGGCAGCTATGGAGGAATGGACGGGATGGGCAACATGGGAGGTTACAGTGGTAGAGACATGGCACCTATGGGAAGATTGGGAGGTAGTGTGACTTATTCTCGGTTATACAAGATGTAAGAGCTTGGAACATGCTGTGTACTCAACTCATGTTCTCCAAATAGGAATGGATGATTACAGAGGTGGTCTTGGAGCTGGAATGGGCGGACTTGGCAGTGGCATGGGAGGAATGGGTTCTGGGATGGGCAGCAACATGGGTGGTAAGTTTTTGGGAAAACAAACCTTTATTGGTAGGCTTTTTCTGACACAAATATTTTTCTCAATCTACAGGTTTTAATGTTAACTGACTTTAGCACTCATGGATGGGACTATGTCATGTTAGGGTCTTAAATTGCAGAAGTCATTATTTTTTCAGAGAGTCTGTGAGTAGTGCAAGTCATTAAATTGAACATTATGGTTTTGGTTCTTTTTGAACACTTTTTAAGCTTGATCTTGGTCTTTGTTTGTTAAATATACCATTCCTTTCAGATATGTTCCGTTCTGGAATGGGTGGCATGGACCGTGATTTTGGCAGGAATGAAATGCCGATGAATCGAGGCTATGGGGATTCGTTTGGAGGAATGGGTAAGGCTGTTTGTGGTAGTGGTTTATTCTTGATCTGAAGAGCCTGTTCAGATTCTGCTATGCGTATTGCCGTGTTATAATGAAATCTTTTGGCATCATCTTTCATTTTCATATTTCAGAAATTTGAAAACCATTTTTTTATCATTTTTAATATCCATTCATATGTTGTACATAGCTCTGAACAAATGGGGCCTCTTGCTTCCTGAGACTCAACTTAAATTGTATTATGGAACGTTTTCTAGTCAGCTGTATAAGGTACTCTTGGTCCTTTATTGACTGTTAGTAAATTTTCTTTGTCAGGAGGAGGAATGGGAGGATTTGGCGGAGGCATGGGTAATGCTGGCATGGGTCCAATGGGATCTGGATTAGGTATTTTTTAATTAATGTTTTTCATTGCTTAAACTCGGCTTACATCTGCAGCTTTTTTTTTTTGTTATGCTGTATTTCAGCCGTTATTTTTTAGATGTAAAGATTGTCTGATTTCATCAAAAAATGTGTTTCTGGGAGGGTGCTGACTAGGTGTTGCAGAAGTTCTTTTCTAGAAGTCAGTTCACTGAAGTTCAGCACATTTACTGCTGAGTGATGTTTCTGCACCTTGAGTCAGAAGGTGTTGTATGCGTTGTTTTCCACAAAATACTTTTAAATGGTTAATGGAGAACAATGCACTATTAGAAGTATTAGTATTACAAGTATGGGTTGGTAGTTTGCAAACTGAAATGCCCTGTTTAATGAATGATGCCTCTTTCCTTATAGGAAGTGGAATGGGCAACATGGGAATGGGTGTGGACCGCATGAACTCCAGCTATGACCGAATGGGAGGTGGTATGGACATGAATCGTGGATTTGCGGGATTTGGAAGTGGCTCTGGCCCAATGGGAGGTGGAATGTCTGACAGAGGGTCGGGGCCCAAGGGATGCCAAATCTTTGTGCGCAATGTAAGTGAATAAAAACATCACTATTTCGTTTTTCAAGTATTTTTATTGCTTTCCTTTTAAATTTACCTTTTTTTTATTGTAGCTTTCCTATGACCTAACCTGGCAGAAGTTAAAGGAAAAATTCAGTCACTGTGGTGAGTAATTTGAGTGTGTGAAAGTTTCAACATACTAACACTGTTTATTTGCTCAAATAGATCTTTCGATATGTCTGTCATAAAGTTCTGAGTTTTGTGTGGTGTTCTTAAAGGAGTTTTTTTAGTTTGGGTCATGTACTCGTGTCGCTTCAACTTCATTGTGAAATTAATGCTTTCATTCCTTTTCCCTTTTAGGTCAAGTTGTATTTGCAGAAATAAAAATGGAAAATGGCAAATCCAAAGGGTGTGGAACAGTTCGCTTCGATTCCCCAGAAAGTGCTGAAAAGGCATGCAGGATGATGAATGGCACAAAGATTAACGGGAGAGAAGTTGATGTCCGTATTGATCGAAATGCTTAAACCTTTAGTGATGTTTACACCCATGTCCCCTGTAGCTTTTGTTTTGTTTTAAAAACATTTCTTGGAAGTCCCTACTGTTACCTGAAGCTGTCGGTCATCACCAGCCTTTGTAACTGGATGTGTATAGGGTTGTTTATATACAGTGATCTTTTTTTTTTTAAACCCCTCTTTAATTTGTCAGCCATCAGTATGTTTGAACAAATAAACTTTTTAATTTTTTAACATTGTTTTGTGACTTTTCTTGAAGGTGAGTGGAAGGTGCTGAAACTTTGTCCCATGTTTAAGTCTTCTAATCACAGTTAGGGGGCTAAACATTTCTTATTATTTTCTCTTGTCTCTCATCCACTAATTTATATCTATATCTATTGTATGGAATATTCTGCCTGTTCTCAAGTGTCAAAAACTACTGCTGGTTGACCTGTGTTAAGTGAATCCAGGAACTATTTAACTCTGTTCTTAGATGCATATTATGTTTTAAAATATATCCAAAAACTGGATAAATGAAAAAAAAATATTTATTGCATTTAAAACATTTTTGTGGTGTTCCAAAGCCTATCAGTTCAATCATTGCATGCTCTTACTGGGCTACTGCCAATAATGCCAAGTTCATACAAAATAGACAAAGTTGCAAAGAGAAGGTAGAAAACAAAACATATAGCACCTAGCTTCCTGTCCAGCTTCCACCCATTAATGTGTACAGCCATGAATAACACAATGATTGAGAGGAGGAGGGTAAATGCTGTATATAACAAGCCAGAACTGTTAATTTGCACAGGTGAGGAGTTGTCCACAAAAACAGTTTTTATAAACCACGGTAAGCCCAGGCACAGCATATCAAACACATTGGATCCCACAATATTGGACATTGCCATGTCTCCCTTTCCTGCAAGAGAGGAGAGCAAAAAGATTGGTTCCTGTAAAGCAAGTGTACAAATTGCGTACAGTATCAATCTCTGTCTCATGCTCAAATTGCTACCTTAAAGGTTGGCTGACTTCCATTATCTTATAAGACAGATGTGTTCGGTTAGGAAGCTAAATGTATAAACGTGCTGTTTGGAAGCTACGCTAATAACATCCACAATTTATCATACCAGTATTCACTCTGAAATGTAGTTGTGTGTGATGGATTACCTTCTCTAGCAACCAAGACACTTGCAACTGTGTCAGGAATGCTTGTTCCGGCTGCCAAAAGAGTGAGACCCATTACCGTGTCTGGAATCCCCAGTGTTTCTCCTGCAATAGTCAAATAGAATGATTCAGTCCTCTTCATCGGAATTACAACTAAAGTCTACTACTGGTCCAGACCAGTGGCTTTGACTGTTTTTATGCATGTATACTTGACATTTCCTAAACTGATAGTTTACAGAACCTTCTAAGCAATTTATATTGTGAAGAAAGACATGGACATACTTAATCCCCTTCTATCAAAATTATATTGGCTTTAATAAAGCTTGGGTCAGCTTTTAGGTAGTATGGAGAAATAATGTGAGATGCCATAATTGTCTCTTTTAGCTACTTAAGCGGAAGAGATCCTTATATAACTGTTTCACTATTGCTATGGCATGTGATGGAAAGTCAGTGACGATGGATCAGGTGTCCTCTCCAGAAAGCCTGCAAGCTCACATCATGTGGCAAAGGGTGCTCGTTGACATGCACAGGGCTGTGTTGTGTTCTACCTGGGCGGTTCTGTGTAGTGTAAGGTCTGTGCAGTGCTAAATTCTGTCATGTGAGTCTTTTAGAGTTCTGGGTGGATAATAATCCTCTTATACTCCACAAAGTCAGTTGGCATCACATGGTTTCTCACAGTATCCCACGGGGCAAAGAAGCCCTTAATCCTGCTGTTTAAGAGTGCTCTGACTTCAGATGAGGGGCTACAGTAATCCCCCAGGATACTACAAAGGCATTTCAGCTATTACCATGTGATTCAGCTCTCGTGCACAGCAAAACTATTTTAGGTTTTCTCCATTCAAATAACACTGAGTGAGCAGAAGACTTTTTAATAAGATTAGGAAATTGATGCTGCTATTCAGATTTTAAAGCAAAATGTAAAAAGCACATGCATATTCATAATCATAGCACCCACTGGCTTTAGCTGATTGAAGCAATATCACTGGAAACAGTTATTTAATTAAATTGCCAGCTGGAATTTAAAAGCTTATTTACCTACAATGGTGACCATCCACACCAGGATATATGTGAATGCAGAGATCCACACTGCAGCCATGAGGAAGGTCAGTGGGAACCATCTTTTCCAGAACTGCCTTCTGCAGTCTGGAGTGGTCAAGAACAGCAGCGTGATTATGGGTAAGCACAGCACCCACAGGATTCTCTTGAGGTCAGCCTCGGGAATTGTGAAGACACTTCGATGATCTGGAAAATATAGTATTTTGGATTTTGTCAATACAGCTATCAGAATAATTTACTTGCTACCATTCCATCAGTGCTGCCGGCAGTATTTTGCAGGCAGGACTGTCACCTTATGTGGACAGGCCAGCAGTGGAGGCAAACATCCTTCAGTGATTAATCAAGGTCCTGTGTTGAGCACCCTGTCTAACCAGTGAGTGTGAGCAGCAACACCAGACCAACCGAAAGGGAGGTCCAAGTGTGATGGTTTGGGGAGGTGTGTCAGGCTGCAGCAGAACTCCTCTTGTACAGACTGATGTCAATATGACTTAATGGCACTACACCTCATGTCTAGAGACCTTAACTGGTGCCCCAAACACTTACATCCTGATGTGAAAACATTCCAGCAGGACAACACAACCTCATACTGCATTGTAACAATGGCTTAGTTACAAGATGGGTATGTGATAACTATACCGTGGATGCCCCAGCTGCTAAACATCATCCCTATTGAACATTTGATGGACTAAAATGACATTTAGCTCCTAGGGCTCTGAGACCAGTGAGCAGACAGATGCTGTTTTAAGGTCTGTGAGAGGACAGGGACTGAATCCCACATGACAGCATCGGCAACCTGGTCCAAAGTATTGGATGCAAATGAACAGCTTGTATTGCTTCCAGCTGTGGCCACTTTCTATTAGCCCATGTTTTCAGTGATAGAACCTCTGTTGATGGTAATATTAATCATGATGAAAATATCTATATCATGTCTATTCAATCAACCATTAGTGCATCTGCTATGAAAAAGTACAATCTTCCTGATGACTTTGACTTTTTTGCAGTTATTAGTGATACACTTATTTTGTTGCTCCTCAAATATAATAATAATATTTTTTCCCCAATAACTCTGAGATTAGCTGGTTTCTCACTGTGGGTTTTTGGGTTTTCCACCTCTTGTCCTGGAAAGCTACATTAACTTTCGTAGGTCTTTCTTTCAGCTGTGCTTTTAGCTAGAGAGGTAAAATGTTACCTTAACTATGTTAATACATTAAATAATTACTTAACTAAGCCAGTGATAATCAATGTTGAGCTGTGATCTTTAGCCAGAGACTGAAGACAGCTGTGTCTCTCTGTGGACTAAGGCGTAGGCTCTTTGCCTACTAGCTTTCTGTGGTACACAAACGTTTTACACATCAAACTTACCATTAGAAACATCTCCAAGTCCATGTAAACTTAGAGAAAGCTGTGAGTATCCTGAGTCCTCCTGAAATATCCCACTGTCAGTTCTGGAATGTCTGTGTACCAGCAGGCCATTGTCATCGTTCCAGCCAAGCAATGAATGCTGCTCATTAGTCTCCTCCATTTCTTTAGTCAGGCAGGTACAGCAGGGACTAAACTTCTTCATCATGTACTGGTTGATGCGAATGTCAAAGCAAAGCACCACAATATACACTCCGTAAACCAGCAGTAATGAAGCAGCCTCATACCTTCAAAAAGAAAATACTAATTGTGTAAAGGCGTCAGTCCAAACTGCAAATCGAGTGTTCCTGAAATGCTAAGAGACAATTGCAAGATTGTTTTGTTTGCCTTTTTCACAAGTCAATGAATTACTTCTCAGTTACTGGAACTATGCTTCAAAATACATCACTGAGTTACCACCAGCACTGATTTAAAAGAATTAGCCAACAGAACAAAATTCTCACCAGTATATCGTGTTATCAGAAATAATCGCAATTACAGCCGACACACTTATGGCGTATGCCACACAGTCTCTAAACAAAGGCCAGCAAGTCAGCTTGGAGACCTGGAAAAAGTCAAAGCAACATTATTTTATTAGACATAAAATACATTTATGAAATTTACAGTATTAATCATGGACATACAACAAGATAAGAGAATGGAAAATACAACGTAAAGGACTGAGCCAGCCAAACAATACAAAGCAAAGTATAGCACTTGACGGTGTACAGACAGCAATAACCCGCACAGAGAACAGGCTGACTACCTTGTGAATTTAAGACTCAACGGATAGCTCGAAGACATGGTTCGTAACTTGAAGCTGTTGTGCCAGTTTTAATGTTCCAGGCTCAGGCGATCTATCAACCACTTTATCCAATATAGGTATAAGGGGGAACTGAAACCTATCCCAGCATGCAACAAGCACAAGACAGAATACACACACAGGATGCTAGTCCGTCACTAGACACATACACTTACACGAGGACCAATTTTCCCTAACCCTAACCCAGGAGACAATTAACCTACTAATATATCTTAGAACTGTGAGAGGAAACCGGAACACTAGTAACTCAGAACTACCCACGCAAACTCGGGGATCAAGCAAGGATAACCACTACGCCACCATGTCGTGCTTGTCTAGACGATTTTATTCAAATAAAAAAAATGCTTACGTCATTTGTTACATGAATGAAATTACAAGTGCATTACACATCAAAGAATGCACTTAAGAGAATCAAAAAACAGCAAAGGCATTGCAGTCTGCCAACAGCAAATTGCATTCATTGCGTTTTCAATATTTTCCCCAATTAGACCAAAAAAAAGTAACACCATATTTTTTTCGTAAAGCACAATTTGTTTAAAAATATTACAAAACGGCAACTAGCCGAACCCTACAGTAGATCCTGGGGAAATCTTTGAATACATATGGTGCTGTATTCAAAACATTTAACTTCTCAAATCCCTATTGGGAGCATTGGGGATTTCAGTGCCTCGTGTTGTGAATATGCTCATAAGCTTTAATGAAATACCACATTCCATTCAACAAACCCTTTACATCGTCAAGGAAAGCTAAATGCTGAGGCATCTTAATTGGCCGGCTCAGCGTGTGGTTTAAAATTCAGACAAAAATGTAGGACTCACATGTAGAGCTGGTAACGCCTATGGTTGCCCAGAGATTGACGAAGGCGTCAGTGAATTTCTGTCGGTCACATACACTTTTCCTTAACGTATCAGTGGTTCACATCCTACTGTACACAGACATTCGGACCTCTGTATCTCAAGGTCTAAATTCAATGTTGTTGTGACAAAAAGAACAAAAAAAAAATACATACTGAAGAGGAAAGAAGTCCGCATGCTGCACATATCGCTAGAAGGTTGTAGACCGCTGATCCAACTATAGTACTAACACCGATATCTCCTTTAGTGACAAACACACCTGGAGAAACAGTCACACCACATGCCAACAAAAAAAAACATACCTTTTAGACTGCAGTTTAGGAACTAAACGTATGCATTAGAATTAATTCATTATCTGAATCACGTTACAGATTACAGACTCGTATCAGCATTTTATTTGTGACCTTTAATTACTACGAAACAAAAAGGCTACGTTGCGTAAATCCTGCGCGAATATTTGAAAAGTACTAAATTAGTTGAGTGACAAGCCAAGACCATCAGAAACAGTACCTAGGAAAACAGTCACTAGTTCTGGGGCTGAGCTACCAGCGGCCATGAAAGTTGCTCCAGCAACATCATGAGAAAGACCGAGACCTGCAAACAAGAACAGGGGAGACATGTAGTAATTTATTATCAGCACAGCGGTGAAAGTCGAACTACCTGAAACAGTCGCACGCTGTCTACGGTTTTATACAGCTAGATTTCTGCAACTTACGTTCACTGATGGCTTCCAGAGAAGGTAAGAAGTAGTCATCACAGACAACAGAAACGGCTAACAGCATATAAAAAATAATCATGAAATAAATTACAATCCCGCCTGCTTTTCTTTCTTGTTCTGTGAAAAATCCCTCTGGGAATTCTGAGGAAGGAGGGGGGACACACCGAGTATCATTCTCTGAAACGAAAACGCAATTGTAAAGTAACTAAAGGTGTGAAAGGCAGAAGTCACATCGCGATATAGTTCCTGTTACTAACACTAGACCTGCTAATATAACGTATTAAATTGCCGTTACCGTGTCTAGTATTAATAACAGCACTGTAAAGTGTGAAAATTCGTTACAATTGTCATAATCATTTGATCCATAACGAACCGTTAAATAAGCAGTTTAAATAGATTTACACCACATTTTATTCGAAATGTACTGAATGAAAATCGCATTGATAGCTAAAAAACATCCATGCACAAACGTCCAGATTAATTAACACTAACCAACATCCCGTCGGACCCGTGAAGAACTGTACTGTGTTGAAATCACTGCTACTTTGTAAATTAGGTGAACTGTTCCGTAAAGTACGAGAAATATCCCTGTAATGCAAAATAAGACTTCTCTTCTTTTCTGTCTCTTGTCCAGAAATGTGGTTTTATCCATTGTTCCCATAGTCCGAGAGTCCCAAAGTGTGACAGACAGCTATAACCTTCTTAAATTCGTCAGAATGTCGTTCTACTAGAGCAGTCCCAAAGTTTGGTGCAGTTCAGGGGAAACGAATTCCAGGCAGATCTATCTACGACTGACTGGATTTCAGATGGCTGCAGTTTCACTCCAAGACAGATATTTCACAGAAATGTTCACCGCTGTTTCACCCATATGCTGGGGATCACGGGATGAACCTATTCTCACTTCATAATGCTCCTCGATCGCCCTGGGCCAGTGAGGTAACCAATCAAACTGAAGAATGTAAAACACATAACCGCTGCCATGGATCAAGAAATTATTCGTATTAATACGGTGTCTTTTCAAAATGTTAATATTCTTATTCATTGTACAGAACCCAAAAATATAGGAATTGCGTTCCTCTTTTACAGCTGAAGAAAGATTCATGCGTTTCCGACTTTGGGCCGTTACAAAAGTACATATCCAGTAAGGGAAGTACAGGCGGAAATTCCGAGGTCCTCATTTACAAGGAAAATGGAACCTTTTGATGTCTGTATGCACCAAAATTAAACGATTCATCTTTAATATTAATATTGCACCAAATCTCAAAGTACTTGACTTGTACTTGAGTTTCTGTATCAATAAAGCGAAACACACAGAACGGTACGAGAAAAACCTTAACATAGAAAAGAGTCTCTATTCGTATATATAGTAAGCTATACTGTATTATACCTTTACTGTATGGTTTTTGCTTAAAAAATTGTAAGGTCTTTATTAACAGCAAAAAAATATATAGCATGGCAGCACAAATGAACTACTACTTCCAGCCGCTTACAAGAAAACACAACTTATGTAAAGAAAGGTGTTGCTAGACATATTACACTTTGATTCATTGAGGATTTCTTTATATGAGAACATGTTACAAGTATTAATAATGCTCAATGGTATTGACAAAGTGAACCCAGAGGATTTTTTCAGAATGAACAAGGAAACATGAACCAGACGGCACAAGGGGAGACCACGTGGAAATGCATTTAAAATCGAACAGGAGGCAAGTCTTCACACAAAGGGTTGTAGGAGTCTGGGACAGCTACCCAACTATCCCACTGAAGCGAATACCCTGGCTTATTTTTAGGGTTACTCGTATCAATTAATTATTATCTACCGATTGGACTAGATGTCTGGAATGACCTCCTCTCTGTATGAACGTCCAAGTGTTCTTATGAATAATATTCCACAAGGGATCATTCTTTCTCTGTCATTCAATCATTTGTCTTTTAAAGCATTGATTACTGCAACGACCTACTCCCCCTACTCCTCTCTAAATCCACACCGAACAAACTAACATGGCCAGAATTCAGCACCCAGAATGCTGACCGGGTCACATGAAACCAGTCACATTACTCCTGTCTTGGAGCCCTTGCACTGGCTTCCTGTCAGGTTTCGAGTCAACTTAACGATCCTCATGCTCACCTATAAGGCTCTACATGGCTGGGCACCTCAGTACCTATCTGACTTATTATCACTCTGCTTCCCACCCTGTAACCTTTGTTGATCTGACTGTGGTCCCTTGTCTGTCCCCCAAACTCGTTTACGTTCTATAAGTGACAGGACCTTCTCTTGCCACGCCCTAAAGCTCTGGAGTTACTTCCCCAAGGATATCAGAGACACCTACACTGAGTACATTAAAACCTAGACTCAAAATCTTTCTTATCAGAAAAGCTTTTATTTAGTGTCAGTGTCTGATCCATTTTCTGATGACCATGTATCTTCTGCTGCCTATTTTGTCATTTGCTATCCTTATAAAAAAAATTTAAACCAAGTGTAAATATCAGGGAAGTCACGACACAAGCCAACACATCTGACCTCTCATCATTTGGAAGGTATAGGCCATTCCTCCCAAAAGTGTCTGTCGCTCCTGACAAAAAAAAAATATGAGTCATGTTGTGACCAATCTGTATGATCATTTATATCACGTTAATTAGTGTCTCCCACGTAAAATAGCACTTGTTTTGGAATAATGAAAAAAGATATGTTTTTATTGATTTTATAAAACTTTTTCATCACTCTCCAACAGCTGGCGTGTAATAGTTGACCATCAGCAATGCTTAAACAGCGGACAGGTGTCAGATGCGTGTTAGATGTGTGTAGTCTGACACAACTTTCTGAGACACCTTTCAGCCTTTTCCAAAAGCCTTCTGCACTCCAGAGAATCATTTGATTAATGTATGAGTGTATTTTCAATTGGCTGATTTATATACAAGTGTTTTTAGGACTACAATATAACAAAAAATAAAGTTTAGGTCACTCTTTACCTCTGCGTTACAACATATTCTTAGTCCGACTGTCCATGCTTTTGTAAACCATTGATTTACATAGCTCAGACGTGTGCTGATTTATTTGCGTGATGTCAGACAACAGTGATATACGAACGCAAATCTGCACTAGAAAAGCGCTGTCATTTACGTCCACTGCCTTATTACTAATCATTTTTACCGTTCATATTATATCACTCAGAAAACATTGATATAGTACAATAAATGATCTAATGCGCTAGATATTAACAAAAATATACTAGCCAATTTATTTAATAGGTTGTTTTTGGAAGCGGAAAACTATGAGTCGTATTTAACTAATCTAATTAAGACTATACTTTGTTTTTGGCCTTTATTTAGGAAATGTATAGATAATTAGAACTGAAGGAGACAAATCTTACTAGAGGGCATTGTATTTTTCATCTCCCGGGTCATGCTGGGACATGTCCAGAGCCACTGTCTTCTCAGTTTTAGGTTAACCGCTATTGGAAAGGTAGTGTAGAAACGACGTTGGCGTTCGCGTCGTATTTATTGTATTTCTTTTTATATCCACGTTTTATAACATCGCAAAAGCTGCAAGAAAACTTCACGAATTTAAGCGATAAAGGGTTAAAGGTAAGTTTGTTTGCTTCCTTTTGGTTTCACTGCGTGATAATTTCGTTTGTTCTGTATTTCTCTTAACTACCCAAAATGGTTGTCAGTCCTCGCATTCGGATAAAATACTAGACTTACCACCCCGTTACATTTAATTTATTTGAAAGAAGCTGTCGGTTTCTGCTTGTATAATCAACATAAATGGAGAAAGGCCGATAGGATTGCTTTGTTGCATGTGAGACATTTAAAAAAAGTTTTACTTTTATTCATTATACAATTAAATAACATTTGACTAGATTAATTGTTAATAAAACATTTACCTCGGAATATCCTAAATATTAATTGGACGCCGTACTATGCACGTTTTCTATAACATTGCGGGTAATTTACTTGCGCCCTGATAGTGATTATTATTTGTCCCAGTGATAATCCAAACGTGTAATTTTTATGAAGAAGATAAAATCCACGCTTGTCTTATTTTTTAGCAATGGCAGGATTTGATTTAGTTAAGGTTAGTATCGGACGCACTTAAAAGCAGTAGCAGACAAGTTGAGTTGAGTACGTCATTTATTTGTAGTGTATTTGGGTGTAGCGACACCTTGTGTTTCTTTTATGAATGGCAATGTGGGAAAATTAGTCGTTTTCCGTGATAATCGTATTTATAGTGTGAGAGTTAAAGCCTGAGCAATGGTCAGACCAAGTGATTTTGAACATTTTCTTGTACCGTTCAGTGGTATTATCTGCTTCTTGTTCGATTTCAAAAGCGTTCATATTTTTCCCTCATTAAATGTTGTATTGTACCTTTTTAACATTCAGTGAGACGACTTAGCATAGTGCCAAACTAAGCTCTTCTGAATTTGTTCGTAATGTGTTCAGTGCTCTCTGAAGAGTAGGTAAAGTGCATTGATAATTGTAATGTATGAAGTGCCATCTGAGCTTTTATAGAGCACTCTAGACCTGGCTTAACCAACCAGCAATCCACTTCACTGCTCAAGGCCTGTATCTAAACTCAGGGTTCATCAGGTTAATGACATAATACACTTGCATTTAATTCTGCATAGTTTACTAAAAAGAACACGTAGTCTCTATCCGAGGGCAAGTCAATCCTGAATGCTTTAGTTTTTCTGACTTTGCTGCATGGTTTGTGCACCATGTTTTACTATTAATAATGCATTTTGTATCACCTTGTTTAACATAGGCTTGAGAGACAAGGGCTTCTGTTGAAATGCATATCTCTACAGTATATATTATTGTATGACTACTGTAGGAAACAAAGGGAAACTTGAGCTGTTCTTGGAGGCTGACAAAAAAAAAACACTGCCAAAAATCCCCTAATGGTGAGATGTTAATTTTGATCCCTTTTTAGTGTCACTCATAGTTATATGCAACTGTCAGACAAGTATATATTGCACTTTCCAGGTGCAATATTAACCCTGTATTTGTATTGCAGTACAGCAGTCTCAATTGTAACCGATAGGTGGCGGCAACATCCCGCTTTTTTGTGAATTTTTTTCTTCCTTTTCCTTGACTTTCGTGTAACCTACCGAGAGCATGAAACTTGGATTTGAACGTTTATCTCTTAAAAGAGTACCCCTATTTTCCTAACTCTTCTGGTCTGAAAGTTTTCTCACTTTGCATCCAGGTGATCTGTCAATTTAAAGGTTCCTTTCACAGATCACAGTTCTCAATTGATTTACTTTGCTATGTACACAAGTCAGGTAGAACTCTTAGTATATTGCTGTGAATAAGACAAAACTACAGAATTTGAAACTAGGGCCAGTTCTCTAACTGGGGTGCTATCTGCATGGAGTTTGTATCTTCTTCCTGTGTTCATGTGAGTTTCCTCTGAGTGTTGCAGTTTCCTCTCACAGTGCAAAGACATACTGGCAGGTAAATTGGCTTCTACGAAAATTGTCCCTGGTGTGTGTTTGTCTGTATTTATGTGTGCCCTGCGATGGACTGGTGGAATGTCCAGGGTGTACTCCGCCTTGCGCCCGTTGCTTGCTGACTCCCTTTCCCCTGTGACCCTGAATTGGAAACAACAGTTTCAAAATGGATGCATGGATTTTAATGCTGACCCACACATCCTGTGGTTGGAGATCTTTGGGCTGTACTATCTCTACTATACCATTACAATGGACTGATTGTGAAAGAATGCCACAAAGAAGCTTCAGAACACATTTCCTGCGGAAAAGGCATAATGTGTTTACCAAAAATATTGTGGCAAGCAAAGCATGCTAATGGGGTTAGAACCTCATAGAGAGAAGTAAGCACTCACTCACTGAAAACAACAAAAACCCTTCTATGGGAATTGGAAGTGGAGAGAATAACACAGAGATGCGTGAAAAACCAGTGATGAGTTTTCAGGGTGCTATGCACTCACTCAGAGCCTCTCACCTGTGACCTTGCACAGAGGTTGAACCCCAGAACTTCTTAAGAAGGTCTGTGATTCGAGGGTTTTGTATTGAAGCCTAGAAGAATTCATTTAAAAAGAACAGGTTGAAAGGTTTAATTGTTGAAATATTGAATA